TTAATCTTTATATTCTTTAATGACGGAAATTATGTCTGTCTGCAGAAATTACAACTTAATAATAAAAATGTTAAAAAACAGAAAAATAAGTAATTAAGTAATTATTTTTATTGAATTTTGGCATTGAATTCATTTTCGCAAACACATTGTCAAGTTTTAAAATTTGACACTTTTTTAATGCTGGTTTTACAATATAAAGTGTGAATTTGATAACCTTTAAACTTGAAGCGATCAGTCGCAGAGAGCAATTTAGCAATGATTTTAAAATTGAAAATTACGTTTAGGTTCCGAGATAATTTCGTGTTTTTATTTATTCCTGTGTGTGCTGGCAGGGTATAGGAGCCACACTCTCATATCCACAGCAGCAGCAGAAGCAACTCGGAGAGTAAACCAGTTATCTGGAATTTCAAATGAATGTTTTGCACAATAAAAAGAGCCTCCCATCATCAGATGTAAAAAAGGTGACGTGATGAAATGCCTCTGACCCAATTGTTCCTTCAGCAGAGTTAAAAAACGGAGGGAGAGAACAGAAGCAAAAGCAGCGCAGAGATTTAGGTCCTCTCACTCTGGACGCAGCGAGCTTGCATGCAACAAACAATGGCCATCTTTTGCGAGCTCGTTTTTTGCCCATTCCGCGGCACTGATTTCCATCATCGTGTCTTGCTTGTCTGGCCACTGCGCTGTCCACCGGGGCACGTCACTCCTTGGCTTGACGTCGCATCGCCACTTTGAATAAAGGAGTACACGTATGTACGCGACTACACGCATCACGCAAATCGTCCGCGATCTCAGCGTTTTTCTCAACATGCTGGGAAGACATTTCAAACAGCGCACAAATAGTTTTCTTTCTAAACTATACTTAAAAGGCTAAAGGCTCTGAAGTTCACTTTTCATTCAGAATAATCAGAAAATTGAACTAATTGAAGATATTCCAACTGGATTAATATTTAAAATAAATTTGCAACTATAAATAAAGTATAGAAACCAATGAACAATTTTTCCTAGAATAATATTTCAAATATTCCTTTAATCTGATATTAATGAATATTTAATGCGTCCAGGAAGATGATTAAATCAGATATAATTTCATCAACTTGATATATAGATTAAATAAAACCATTTATTGACTTTCAGACTATGCTGAGTTCGGCCAAAACTAATAAATTCATAAAAAAAATTCAAATCTTCTGTCTTGCAGCCCAGAGTCTTGAATTAATGATTCCAAAAATTAAATAAAAATACCCATCAATGAAATAAAAAATTGTTGAAAACGCAATAAATTTTAAAATTGGTGATAATTTTAAATAAAATTCTTAGACACGCATTTACGACAAATTTTTCAATTCAAAATCTATATGCTACAATGCTGTGCAAAATTATTACACACTTTTTGACTTGTTCTTACATCCTGCTTGTAAATATTTTTGGTTCAACTAACGAAGAATACAAAATATTTAATTAATTTTTTCTTGAAATTTACAATTATTCTGATTACGCTTTTCTTTATAGATTAATTTTTGCTAGTAATATCTCTCTTTGATGTTTGTTTATAAACAAATCACGTTAAACAGTTAATTAAAGTTCCATAGGAAAAAAATTAATGTAAAGAAATTGATTTTCTAATCTTCTTGAATGCCCTGATAAAATTTAAATTTTCGATTGTTATGCAACGTGCTTTGCTTATATTCGATTGATCACTGAGGACGCAGAGCAAAAAGGAAACAGTAAAATGCAACTGTACTCGGGATATTTATTATTTGAATATACGTGTCGCTGTCGCCACGAAGAGCGGGACAGTGCACGAAATTAATTTTCTCCGATTTACCAAGAAAATAAGCGCACAGATAGAGCATCTGTTGTTTTTTCACGAGTTGAGATCTGCAACGCGCAGCTTTGTTTAAAGGATCGAGCAGCCACAAAGAAAAGCTCCTTTTCTGCGTGGCTCTTCCAGGAATGAAAAGTAATTCTTGTTTTCTCATTTGTCGTTCTTTATTGCTTCTTTATTTGCGTTGATGATGATCGTATAAGGATCGCCGGGTATTGTGTGTTTATCGAGCAGGTCTGCTACTGAATAACGTATGCGCCGATCAGCCCCTAGCTTCATTGATATTCATCATACGTAAATCGTGTGCGCGCACATTTATTTACTTAATTTATCTCCTCCCGATCCGCCGGCTCATGCAGTAGTTCAAATAATAATAAACCCTCTCGGAACAATATAAATGCGTGCTACCGACGCGGCCATTTAATCTTCATTTAATCCCATCTGATTTTCAATCTGCACTGAGACAATTGATTTTTATATACTAAACAAAAAAAAGTAACCTATATGAAAACAACTAAAGGAGATATTGATTTTTGATAAATTTAAACTCAAAATGAGGGTAGGTTTATGAAATATATTGTGTTGTGAATTTTGAAATGATTTTGATGGGTGAAACTTGCTCATGATATAATTAATATATTAAGTTGCCGTTCTACCCTTTTAATTTTTTTAAGTGATTTATTAACTGTTAATTATTGTAAGTTCAAATTTGGAAATTTATCTAAGATTGATGGCTCTTTTTAAAACAACAAAAATGGCTAAAGTTCTTTAAGAGAAGAGTATATCATTACAAAATATTTGAACTTTAATGAATTAAAATTTTGATATTTTGATTCTTACTGAAATTGTTATTAATCAGTGAACTTCCATCTGCCCTGTCATTGAATTTGAGCAATATGAAAATGATGCCAAACGAAACATGCAAAAAAGGGCAGAAAGCATCCGTGAAAGGAATTAGATCCGTTTCTGCAGTAATTCCAAGTCACTTGAGGCCATTTTTCAAATTACTTTTCTTGAGATATATAATTTAAACTGTTAGCAAAACACAAGGAACACCGAATAAATTGGAGAGACGAGTTATTTTACAGAGTGGTTGGCGAAGTATGCGGTGACAGGAATATTTCCCGTGCGCTAACTAACGAAGAAGGTATTTTGCAAAACGTTGTCTCTCTCGCTTGACTCTCGTCGCTGCGAGGTAAAATTCTGAGCGCGGCGGCGGGTATGCGCGACAGGAATGCAGGGTAAAACGGCCGCAGATAAAACTGGGACCATGTAAAATCATTGCTCAGCAGCTCTGAAGACGCGGAAAGGAATCAGCCCGGAGCGCATAATTTTCTTCTGATTCCACTCGAGAGAGCGAGCGAGCCTGGCGAGAGACACAATAATATTTTTAGTCGCGCTGGAAATATGTAAGGAACTTTTGCCAGTGCGCGCTCTCCGCGAGACTGCAGCATTCTTCCTCAGGAGCAGCTTTCCCTCATTATTATTAGCATGTATTGACTTATGGCGTGGCAAAACGAACGCAGCAGCCCACCCATTGTTGCAATGTGGACAAATAACAAAAAAAAGAGCATTATATATATTCAAATATTTAAAAATTTGCTATGAGACCATCGCAACTCCACCTCATGATACAAAAATTGAAGAGAGAAAGAAAAAAATCAACAAACAGATTATTTTTGTTTAATCCCGATCCCATTTTGAGTTCTCCGGATTTTGATGAAATTTGGTGTGCAATTTCAGTTAGGCACTTCGGAACGGCCAATACTTTTTCCCAATTTTGTTTCTTCAGTTTTTGCCATTACAAAGACTGGTAATTTGAATTACATTGGAAAATGGGAAGTAGGCAAAATATTTATACAGGAGACGCTTTTGTTGCCTATTAATTAAATGAAGTATAATTTATAAAAAAGATTCCTTTTTTAATTTTTGTAATCATTCCAAGCTGTTTTCGGGCCAAAATTAATAGAAATTTCAGAGTCACCAAGGGAAGCGCAAGTTGCATACCAACTTTCATATAAATAGGGGTGCTTCACTTCAAATACACACACATTTGCAAGAGCATCATAAGACTCACTTTACATTAAAATAATTTTTGACAATGCAAAAATACATTTAATTTTTTTTATATACATATTAGTTAACTCTTATTATAATATTAAACTAATTTTCTACAATTTAAATTAATTTTTATTTTACAAATTTTTATTTCAATAATAAAACTCTATTGTTTGTAAAATAATGCAGCACAAGAATTTCTAATTTATTTTTTAAATAGTTTTTTAAAATTTATTTAGTAAAAAAAATATATAAATATATATTTTAGCATATTCATTTGTATTTTCATTATAACAATTTTGCAATGCATTTTTCTATGAAAGGTCCTATTGTATCCTTCTATGTTCCTTTCAGGGAACGCATTTTTATATATATTCACACTTGCAGTTATACAATTTGATGAATTCGCATCCGACGAGTAAATACAATGCTAATAAAAGAGAACCCCAAGAGTTCAGAGAAAGACCTTCCCAGTCAGTCGGCGGGATATTTTTATTCGCCCATTGACCTTTTGTTTATGGGCCGCACTAATAGGTCTATCAGGTATCAGTGCATAGAGAGGCACATCACTCACTCGCTGCAAACGAATTTTCCCACGGGCAATCCACACGTATATTCCTCGTCTCCCATTCGAGCAAAATGTAATTCATTCATGATAATTCATGGAACATTATTCCCGGAGCCAAAAGAGGTTGATATCCTTAAGGTGCGGGTGGCACCCGTTTTCTCTCTCGAAAATGAGAAAATTCGTTCAGACCACACCCATGACAGAGACGAGTATATTATACAATTTTCGCTTTCGGCATAAAAATAAAAATGATCTTGGTCGGTTTTATCGTCTGACGATTCGTTCGACTTCGTGGTGCATTTCGGAGCGATTGTGTCGGGGATGTTTTAATAGTGCAGCATCATGGAGCATCGGGTTGATTCATGTGCCGGGCCATTGTTATTCAACAGACGGCTAGAAAGGCCTAACAATGCGCAGACGTCAGCGTGTGTGATTCGCCTGTCAGTAATCAATTTACCACCTTTGACATCTTACTTAATTGAAATGCCACCTCGGAGAGCTCATATTTTCCGCTCCTCCGCCGACTTTTATGGACTTTTTCAAGCGAATGAGTCGGTTGAATTTATTACTGCTTTTTCGTATGGGAAAGGAGAAATCACAGACCTTGACTTATGCTTTGAAGATTTGGTATTTATTTTTAACAAAAGCTACATCGGATTTTTGTACAAAGTTATGCACAGGTGTCGCGTAGCTAATGCTCTCTCTCTCTCATCTTTTTTTGTTTTGTTTTCTTTCGACAATCGATGTTCCTTTTTTTTCATTCATTATATTATCCAACCTTACAATTTTAGATTGAAAATACATACTTATCAAGGAAGCAAAACGTGTCAGTCTTCAGTTATAGATTATAGAATCTGTTAAGTAACTAAGTGTGTCCTTAATACAAATAATTATTACATTCATCTTTATTGAGTTAATTTTTCACTAACCGCCGAGAAGCACACAATTCAGCAATTTTCAAGTAGACAACCTTAATAGGAAAAGTACTTATTTAATTGTTACTGCGTTTATGTATAGTTGAACTTATAAGTACACAAAGTACAGTGTATAAGTGCGGAAAAACGAGAAAATGCATTTTTGTGGAAAAACACATAATTAAAAAATATCTGCGGAAATCAGGAAATCGTCGAGATGATAAAAATGCGAACAACTCAACACAGTGGAGCTCTTGCTAGCAAAAGCGAATTTTATAATAATAATAATAATAATAATAATATAGAGAGGAGAAACATAAATAGCTAAAAATATAAAGCGGTTCTCTAACGTTAAAAATGTTACAATATACAGACTATAAATGTACTTTCCTGCGACGAATTCATACACATAGTAAATAATTTATATATAAAATGAGCTCTTACGGCTGTGACGGCGCCTGAAACCTCAATTGAAACACACATACTCGCGCAAGTGTACAAAACTTGAACTCGAGGGCAAGCGTATCGGATTTTTATTTACAAATAAAATTAATCAAGACCGTCTAAAAGTTGTGACCTTTTCGAATTCAGGCAATCAAGAGATAATACAATTAAGTATATAATTATTTAAGTCCTAAACCCTATCCACATTTTCAGCCTCTTTTCTCAGTTTCGTGGCAGCGCTGCCGTCACAGTTAAGAGCCCTCTCGCGGCAAATAAATAGAAACACACTTCCTTCTTTCAGTCCTGACTTTTGGGCATTTTTTTTTTTTATTCAATTGCCACTACTTGCACGTGTGCACGATCTTTGTCCTGTGACACGTTTTGCACTCGACCTCGCAGCACCACCGGAAGATGCACTCGCACCTCTCGCGCACGGTGATCTCCTGCGTCACGTACCCTCGGCCGCAGCACATGAGTTCGCAGCCGTCGAGGCCGATGGACGTTTCGTTGCACCGCCGCCCCTTGGTCCCGGCGATGCCCAACTTGGGGTTGCGGTCGCAGAAACTGGGCGACGGCTCGAAGTAGACGAGGTCGGTGGCCCCCGGCGTTTTGTGGTCCGGGTTGACCGGCTTCAGCTGGAAGTTGTACTTGCCACTCTTGCCCCCGACCTGCCCCCCGGTGGCCGTGTTGAGCAGAGAGTGCGAGCCGCGGTAGTTGGAGCGGTGGTGCGTCCGGCTGTTGCGTCCGCGCGGCGAAGGGTTGTTCAAGTTGGCGCCGCTCGAGGCACTGTTGCTCAGCGGGGCCAGGTTGCTCCTCAGGCTGCCGGCGTTGCTGACCATGACCTTCGAAGCGCCGTCGAAGCGATCCTTGAGTTTGTCGCCAACCACTCGGAACGGGGGCAGTCGCATCCAGCAGGTCTTGACGGCGCAAGACCCGCTCATGCCGTGGCACTTGCACTCGCGACGCATCTCCGAAGATACCGTCTGAAATCAGAAAAGGGCAAAACTTTCATTATAAGGACTGAAAATTGAAAATGGAAAAAAATAAAATTTGAAAATGAGTGATTTTATCGTTTTTCTTACGAAGTATGCGTAATAAAAACGATTTGAAGATGGGTTAGCAAAGTATATTTTTTTAAATATCTTTTTGACCTTTATTTTTGCAAAAAGGCAAATTAAAATGTTGACAATTGAAGGTGATTATTCTCTTTTTAAATTATTAAGTTCCAGCTCGGAGATAGGGCGCCTGATTGAGCAAGGTAGCACATTAGGTCGACCCTAAAGAGTGGTTTTTATTCGGGGGGAAATTTTTCACGAAACCCAGAATTATAAATAAATTTATGTGATTCGGCATTTTTAATGCAGACGGTAAAAAAATTAATTTTAAAGCCATTTTTCTATTTCATTTTGTAATAAGTTTTGTATGATTCTTTATAATTCAAATTATAATGCTGAGAGAAATCAATATTAGCAGTCTGGCCTGGCCCGTCAGCTAAATTGAGTTTACTTTTTATCACTTTTTATTTCATCAAGTGCTGGCCAAGTTAACTTAAAATTTACAATTAGCTGATAGGTGAATTTTGCCTTACTTTTTATGTAACTATTTTCTTTTTTCAATCTCACGCTTTCTTTGTTATATTCATTTGTGTTACAAAAAAAACCTACAAAAGATGAGCAAATATTTCACAAAAGGCTCATTTTCTTTTTATTCGTTTAATGTGAACGCAAACATCTCTCCGCGTGTTTTATTAAACAAATGAAAGAGATCTTCTCAGGGGTGCGCTCAGCAGCTGGTTGATATATCACGGTGTTTACTCTGCGCATTATCACTTCAGCAGAGTTTAAATGGGATAAATTGCCTTGTGTGAATAGGTCCCGTGTTTTTTTTTTTCGAATTGACTAAAGGAGAGAACCAGGTCAAAGTGTAAACACGCGTAGTGCGGTTTGGGCGATTTATATTAGTTGTAATGGCTAAATTGCTGGCAATAAAGACGAGTTTACATGGAAATGAGTGCCGCGAGTGTAATTTGAATTTATGGAATGGGCCAGGCAAACATCATGACTGCGGGCCGTTTGTCAAAAAGGAAAGTTGTCCGTCGTGTTGCATCTCGCTCACAAAAAAGAAAGTGTATACATTTATTTAAGTTGATTCTTCTTAAGAAAAGCATGAATTCAAAATATTTTATTAACATTTAATAAAAAGACAAGCGATATGGCCAGTAAAAAAATTAATATAGAGGAAAAATGTTGGGAAAAACGCGCTTACCGCTCGACCCGCTTCGTTGTTGTGCAAATTCATTTTCTCACGCTGCGTTCTTCCTCGCTCTCCGGTGTCTACGAATTCTCTGGAGAACTTGTAGCCAAATGCAAGGTTGTCGGAACAGCCGCCCCATTCCCAATCTCGTCCGTCTAGAACAAATAAATGAAAATTGATTAAATTGATTAATTTATTTAATAAGATTTGTTGGAAATATAAATTGGTATTAATTATTAAGATATCGTTTAATTCAATCTGGTTCACTTGGCATACACGACGCACGCATCTAGAATTGCTTTCAATTTTTTATGTATTTAACAGTGATTTGATTTGAGGCTTTTTATATTTTTCTTTTACATAAAATCTACGAAAAAAATTTATTGAAACCATGACAGGTATTGATTGCAAAATATTTAAAAATTGCATTTTTCACAAAAATTTTTAAAATTTCTATATTACATTAAAAAAATTGTAGATAATACAAAATCATAATTTAAAATAGAAAATATAAAAAAGTTTAAAATTATTATTTAATAGTATTGACTTACGAGTAACTCCGTTGGCAGCGCCGTTTGTGGTGAGTGATCCGAGGGCCTGCACCGCCCTTGGGTGACTGTAATCGCAAGTGCAAGATTCAATGGAGCCCTCGCTGCATGCTCTGCTAACGGCGTGCGTTACAGCTGCACTCGTAATCGCATAAATGAACGCCGTCTCTCGACACGCTGCAATCAAACAAGACAAAACATAAGATTAGAGCATTTCTTTATTAAATAAAGTAAATCGAATGATATTCAGAGAATTCGCTTTTTATGCTTTCAATGAGATAAACAATCGATTTTAATGTTCCAAAATTTAAATTTTATGCTTCAAATTTCTTTCGATTTAAAAATTGTAAAGTGATTTATAATTAATTTTAATTGAATAAAAGGATTGTTTTGGCGTGTTCTACAAGAGAATAAACAAATTAAATTGAAGAAATTGACTTCTCTTGTCTGTTTTCGCATCATTTGTCATCGACAGAATAATTATCAATCGAGTGCAACGTGATCTATACTTGTGTAATTTATTTTAATGCGCACGGAGCTCTGCAGAGCGAAAGATGAAATCGTCCTGATAACGCGCATTGTTCGCAGTCCATTGAGTTTGTGCTGTATATTTTTGCTTGAATAACTCTCGCCGTTCGCAAGGCGTGGCTCCTGATCATTATTATATTATGCGTGCAGGCAATAATATATAATTTTTTTTTTTTTTTTGTATATAACACCGCCAGCCGCGCTTGCAGAGGGAAGAGAGAATAACCGCTTGGCAGGTAATTGAATCCTTTTCAGCTTCTTTCCTATGCACCGTCCAATCTTTTTTCTCTTTTATATATATCTTGCTGATTGCCTCTCATGGGACCGAGCAGAAAACTCAATATCAAACTTCCGGGACGCCCCGTCGCGTTGTACATTTTTTTCAGCATTTGAATACTCTATATTTATTCTGCATCGTGTTTTTGCGAATCGGCAATGAATTGGAAACGAATAATTTGACTTGTTCTCAAACACACACATCTTTGAATGAATATGTTTTGAATTGAATCTGAACGAAAGGGTTTGACGCAAAAGGGAAGAAGAAGAAAATAATATGCTGGTTGGTACGATTGCATGCTGGGAAAACCCCACAAGACGCCTACAGAACAAACAAAAACTGTTTGCAGCTCATTGAGCTTTTCTTTATTTATTATCGAAAAGGTTCAAAATATTTAATTTCTTTTTCAAATTATTTGAACCTTGTTGTGGAAAACGTTCCTCAAATTTTTATGAGGGTGATTCAAAATCCTAACCTGATGGTCCAGGCTAATTAATTCCGTACGGCGGGTAAAGTTTGCTTGGGTCAGAGGTTATAGGCTCTTGGAATTCGCGCACATTATCTTCCCAAATTAATAATTTAATAAAAATCTTTTAAAAAGAAAAGAAAAAATTAGCTTTTACTTAAATTTCTACAATTATATATATTATTTACTGTGCCTGCAACTTCTGTGCAAAAATTAAAATTAGTCTAAATCCATTATTTAATCTTCTTTGTTGGAGATATCATGAGTTTGAGCCATGAAGCTTTGCGATTATTAATTAACATCCGTACAGTTTGAGATCAATGATTCTGTCATCAGCGGCACCGCAGAGCAATAAAAATAAATTATCGATCGCTCCCTTCCTCATGGACGCTTTTTCAATAAGCTCTGACTGACAATGAGATGAGAATGAAAATGCTTTTATTGCAGAGAGTGATTCCAAATGTATTATTTCCCATTTTTGTGCAGCTCTTGTGAGGCCTTCAACATCTTCATCTCGCAGGGAATATATACACGATGTCATTAGACATTATACTCCCTAAAAGAGGCCCCCTCAGTGCGCCTCAACATGCCCCCCGCTGCATGAGCAATAATTCAAAAAATGCCTCCAGCTCCCCCTCCCTTTCAACGTGAATGTTCATGCACACAACAGACACACACGGTCAGCTCATGATAATATAACCGATAATAACATTAACACAGCCTCCTCACTCGGTCGTCGGAAAGATTAATAATTTAATATACGTACGGGATGAAATAGATGTCAAAGTTAACACTAATTTAGTGCCTTGGCCGCGCAGTCTTTTGCCTCTTTTTCTTTGATTTTTATATAGAGATACTTTTACACTTTTCTCTCTGCGAGAAATAAATTATCGCCGCCGCCGCACGCATGGAAGCATCACCGCGGGATTAAAAGGAATTTTGTGTTCCGGAAGTTTTTATGTTATTAATAATTTATTTTCTCAAGGTGCCTGCTGCCGTCGCTGCAGCCGCCGCGAACCTAAATTAACATTAAATTCGTGTGGACGGTTGTAAACAATGGGGCGGTGGAGGGCCAACGGTATCACAAGAAGTGCCTAATTAAAGTCACAACAAAAGCCACCCCATTACTTTGTCATTCTATCAGCTCTTGCTTCACAAAGGGTTTGAGTAAAAGTGAGAGACTTTTTGGAATCCTATAGAAAGAGCATTTTAATAAATTTAGTTATTGCGTCAATTTTAAATTTTTATGCTTCAGTGAATTAAAATCGTTTTGTAGATTGAAAAGTCAACTTGTATTTTCTGTTTGTTTGGATTAAATGGATTTAATGAAGATTTCATTGCATTGCACGCCCCGAAAATATTAAAATTTTGATAACTTATCCAATTGGAATATGACATGTTCAACTTTGCGCTAATTTAGAAAAATTCATAACGTGCGAGCTATTTGAAGTGGTCCAATACATAGAAATAAAGTGACTTCAACACATAATATATAAATTATTTTATATGAGAAATTAACAATTTATTTAATATTCAATTTACTTATTAAATTTAAATAACGCAAAATATTTAAAAAAAATTTATTTTGTTGCATAAAATTTTTTTAAATATATATTTTAAATTATAAATAAATTAAATGAGTACAAAAAATTAATATGTATAAGTTAAATTTTACTTTATAAAATTTCAAAATAAACATAATCATGTCAATCAAGGATCACTGCGGCAGATGGAGTCTTTTTGATCTCCGAAGGTTTCTAGCCAAATTCTGCTATATTATTGTATGCCGTTTTTCAACAAAGCTGAATTTAAACAAGATGAACAAATAAACAATATAGTATATATTTTTTTCATTGGCTGTGTTATTGTCTGAAACGTTTATAATTTTTACCAAAATTCAACGCAATTGAATGATTGAAAATAAAAGTAAAAACAATTTGTCGCTCTCTCCATATCTATTTGTTCCCCTTTGGGTGCGCACATTAAAACATAATATATTTTTTACGCTCTCGTGGCCGCTAATTTATTTAATACCGGGGATAAAATTCCAATCGCTGACGGCAACTCGACGCCGGACCATCTCTCGTCAAATCCTTTTACGCGCTCGCGCAGATAGCATCTTTGGCAACGCTCAATATCCATTAGGCCATTAATATTCGAGGCATCTCTCTCGATAATTGAGCTGTATTGGGCAACATAATTCATTATACGGCTCTGGATTTTGTGTGGCGAGCCGTAAATTAGGCCCGCCGCTGCTGCCACACGCTTGACACAAACGCTTTTTAAATAATAAAGGTTCGAAAGCAGTCGTTGAAAAAATAAGAGGGACAGAAAAAGAGACGACGACGAAACGGGGCAGTAAAAATCCAACAACAGGGAAGCTAATATTATTAAATGGTCTCGGGCCAGATAAGTAATACTTCACTTTTTCTTCGGCTCTCACAAAACGCATCTCTCGTATAAAAAAAGCTGCGCGACCCTTTTTGAATGGGATTTGTATTTTGCCTCACAATTGGCGGGGCAGAGGTGAGAAGCGCAGCGAATTACCACCTACCAAGAGACGCACAAAAATCAGTACAATTCCTGATAATGGATTCCAAAAAAGCGCTCTTTCGTCAGAGTCGCGCGCATAATAATAATGGGCACCCCTTATGCAGCGTAAAAAGGCCATTCATCGCCCATCATTGAGAAAGAAAGTCGTCGTCTCTTCGGCGCAAAGCAGGTTTTTTTTATTCTTCAGCTCAAAAACTTATATATATTCTTATTTTTCCACTCTCGAATAAGAGCTTGAGCGACGGGATTTTTCCTGCAACTCTCGATTTCTATGGAATTCCGAGCTATCAGTCTGGTTGTACAACTGTCAACGTCAGAGTGAAGGGCTTAAGAAGGGGCAAATCACCAAAGTCATTTAAATAAAAATGAGATATTCGGAGACTTCAATGCCTGCAGTTCAAAAAATCAATTAATATTGTTAATATATTTTTTAATCCTCTTAAAATTTATATTCAAAAGTATAAATCCGTAATTAATCACAATCGCCGCTGCGACTAATTAAATTTACGAGCTGCCTAATGAGATATTTGTTGCTCTCAAGGTTTCCCGTGCTCGACCAGTCGGCCGCGCAGCAATTATTTATTACCAACATAGAACAAAACAAAGCCTTCAGTGAGGAATTCATCCGCACGGCGGTAATTTATGATGGTGCTGAAAAAAGCGCACCGTGTTTCCTCTGCACCGTCCCGTGATATTGGTTCATATGGGGCATATAATATTCGAGAGAGCTGCGAAACACGAAATTGATTTGAGCTGGAGCGCCGCATGTGGTTGAATAAATAACACAATGATCATCGCGTCTAATAACTCTTCTTCTTTTCTGATATATCTCGCTCTCGCTCTTTGGGTCACCGGGGTGGTCGATCCGCTCACAGCTTATACATTATGGAGAGGACGGAGCATGAGAGAGCAACTGGCCGTGGAGAATTGGAAGAAAAAACGCGCACACAAAGGAAAACCAGCGAGAATCCCCAATTTTTTCCCATCTGCAGTTTTCAAGGGTTTTATTTTTAATTTTCAGAAAAGAAGCCGCGAGATTGGCTCATGTTTTACTCTTTTGCGAGAAAACCTTTCCACCTTTCACGATTTTCTGGAGATGTTGACCTATTTCTATTGAAGTTTCAAGTGGCTGCATCAGATTTTCTCAAAAGCCTGCGTGTTTGTTTCTGGACAGTGTTGTGGTCAGCTATGCGTGAAAAGAGGAGAGAGGTCATGTAGCATGTCAGTGAGAGATTATTTTTTTCTGTAAAAGATCCTTTCTTGCTTGGGGAAAATCTTTTGATGGTTTTGACACAAGTCCAAGAAAAGACATCTCTAGCATGATTTGTAGACTATTGGAAAAATATCTCTTTG